GCAGGAATGGGAATGGAATTGCTACATGCTTAGCTGTAAGTGAACGGGCAGTTGGATAGAGACCTTTACCAGGTGGCACTGGCAGGGGAGGAAAGAGTACTTTCCTTTGCTCTTGTATTTGGAAATAATAAGTTTGAAGACCAAAAGCTGTCCAGCTTTCTGTCTTGACATGCAGAGACATACGTTGCTTGAGGGATTTGAAGACTTGAGTTATAGACTGTGTTTAATTTAAAATTTTTTGTAATGTTTTATTTATTTCTGAGAGAGAGAGAGCAGGAGAGGGGCATAGAGAGAGGGAGACACAGAATCCGAAAACAGCCTCCAGGCTCTGAGCTAGCTGTCAACACAGAGCCCGACATGGGGCTCGAACCCATGAACTGTGAGATCATGACCTGAGCCGAAGTCGGACACTTAATTGAGCCACCCAGGCACCCCAGACTGTATTTAATTTTAGAGAAAATACTAAACTATTTAAAATGCTTTCACCCTCCTATGTTAGAAAACTATAGAATCTGATAAAGTTGCTAAAATTTGCATAACATTTAAAAATAGTTGATTAATTTTAGGCATGAGGACATCTAAGGTTTTATTTGTAACCAGCTATAGTTTTTACAACTCTTAACATTACTTAAATATTTTAATTTTTAATTTCATAAGTTATAGAAGTAATATGATCTCACTCAGAAATTCCAACAAGTAAAGCAAAGATTCCCACTAATCTACTTGTATATATTTTCAGATTTTTTTCTATTCATTTATGTATATAGGATCATTCAAAATGTGGTTGTGTCACTGTCCTAGAAAGAACATAATTGTAGTCATGCAGCTTTTTTAAAATGTCTTGGAGATTATTCTGTTTCAGTATATATAGTTTTACCTCATTCTTTTTCATTACTGCACTGTAGTATTTAATAGTATACAATTTCATTTAAAAATTGTCAGAAGCTCTAAAACAGGACTTGGAAATTACCAGTGTGTTGTCACATTTACTCATTCATTGTTTACTTATGGCATAAATAAGTTTTATGAAGAATGTATGTTTACATAACAGTGTTTTAGTAATTTTTTCCCAATATCGGATCATAGGAGGTGTTTTGTTTGTTTTTCTGGTTGTTTCTGTTTAATATGCAAACTGCTGCCTTCACATCTCTGACTTCAAAAAGCTTCTGAAAGTTACCTTATCCCTGTAAGTCTGAAAGTGCTAAATAAAATTAAAATATTTAAAACATACTATAATCTTTCTTTGTTGGAAGTTTTTATAGAAATGCTGAGCTGCCAGCATAGTTTTAGAATAGTAACTACACTTTGAAGCCAAAACGACTTATTTTAAAAAGTGAACCAAAACAAAACCCACCATGAGATAAGTCCATATAAAACTTGAGCAAAAAGATGGGAATAGGAATTTTCCACCTACCCCCACCTTTGCTTTAGGTAAAAACATTGAATCCCAGAGGTTTCAATTGGTGGAAGACATTAATTTCCATCATTTCATCAACTAATGAAAATTGAACTATGGATAAGAAAGAAGGATGTATGTATTTATTTAAAGGCCCATGTCCTTTGATACACCAGTTCTTTGGTAATTTGTTACAGATATCCTTGTATGACTGTAGAGTTTAAATACAAGGATATTCGGGCACCTGGGTGGCTCAGTCAGTTAAGCGGCCGACTTCGGCTCAGATCATGATCTCACAGTTCACGGGTTCGAGCCCGCGTCGCGCTCTGTGCTGACTGACAGCTAGTTCAGAACCTGGAGCCTGCTTCAGATTCTGTGTCTCCCTTTCTCTCTGACCCTTCCCTACTCATGCTACCTTTCTCTCTCTCTCTCTCTCAGAAGTAAATAAAACGTAAAAAAAAAAAAAATTAAGTACAAGGATATTACTTGAAACATTGTTTTTAATAGTGGAATAATAAAAATATGCAATAGAATTGTAGCTAATATAATAATATGAAAGATCTTCAACATTGTTATGTGAGAAAATCAAAGTGCAGGACAGTTTTTCTGGTGATAATCCTATTTGTGGAAAATGAAATCTGTACATATTGTACATTACTTGTGCATAACTTGCTCCATATATGTACTTATGTGACCTAGAAAACTACTTTTTAGAAAAGATGCACAACTTAGCTGATTGCTTTTAGGAGTAGAATTGGTGAATTGAGGTAGGAAGACTATAACAATTTTTATATGATTTTGTGCTTAAAAATTTATGTTAACTTTTGGTAAAATGGGTTTACAAAGAAGTAGTTGTCAAGTTTTTAGCTTCAGAATTCTGGAGGAAGGGACTTGCTGCAGATTTAGTTGCTAGTTACCAACTTGTGTGCTTTTTCTGCATGTTCATAAACAAATTGAGTCATTTTCTGAAGCATAAGCACTTTTAGACCACGATATTGCAATGTCCTTTGTTTTTGGTATGTCATTGTGAATTGACTTTTGTCAGTGATGTAACTCTTGATCCGTTCAAAGTGAATATAAAGTAAAACTACCCAAGGTGAGCTAAGCACTTAGGTTGTGGAACAGTGGTCAGTTTTGAAAACTGAAGAATATTCTTGTAATAATTTTGACAAGTGTTCTATTAAAGTACTTGACTGAAAAGAAAAGGCTTGATGGGCTTTAGAGAGCCTCACATTTTATTAACCTTTTAATCTGTTATTTTGTGTCTTACATTTTTTTTAGATATTTAAAAGTTTCCATTATTCCACAACAGTACCCAGATAGTTGATTTTTCATGATTGCTGTCTATTTTTTTAAACGTTTATTTAGTATTGAGACACAAAGAAACAGAGCATGACTGGGCGGTGGGGGTGGCAGAGGGAGAAAGATTCACAGAATACGAGGCAGGCTCCAGGCTCTGAGCTGTCAGCACAGAGCCCAATGCGGGGCTTGAACCCACGAACCATGAGTTCATGACCTGAGCTGAAGTCAGACACTTAACCGACTGAGCCACCGAGGCGCCCCAGTAATCTTACAATTTTTATTTTGGTCTTCTATCTCACTGGGTTGGCAGGAACATTATACCTCAGTCTTGCTAAGGTTCTGTCTACCCAGGCTCAGACTGGATTTAGGTTCTAAAGTGTGACACTGTGCCAGGACCTTGGGGTGAGGTGCAATCTAGTCCTCAAAACATTTGCTCAAGTGAGTTACTGTGAAAACATCTCGTTTTGTGGTCAGGATGGCCCTTTCAGATGTACTTTTTTTTTTTTTTAATCTTTTTATTTTGGGGGGGGTTGGAGGGAGGGAACAGAGAGGGGGACACACAGCATCTGAAGCAGTCTCCATCCAGACTCTGAGCTGTCAGCACTGAGCCCGACGCAGGGCTCTAAGTCACAAACAGGAGTTCATGACCTGAACTGAAGTCGGACACTTAACCAACTGAGCCCCCAGGCGCCCCTCAGATGTAGCACTTTTACAGCCACATGACCACCTGCTGTTTCTGTACCCTACTTAGGGGAGAGACATCAGCAGGCTTGGCTCTGGACCCATCTGCCAAACTACTGTATACAGCTACAATCCCTCTGTGGTATCCTGTGGCCTCCTCTCCTGGCTCTGCCAGGAAGTCCCAGCAGTACTGTCTGTCCAAACACCACACATGTCGCTTTCTGCAAGCCAGGAGAATCTTCCTCACCTGTGCATAGCCCTCACTCTCTTCCCCCCTGTTCTACACAAATGTTTTGTCTATACCCAGGCCACTCATTATCTTTGCTGTCTACTTTAGACATTTTGTGTTTGTCTACCCTGCTCTTATATCTATCCTCTTAGTTCCCTTAATCTTTTTTGCAACATCAAAACCAAAGAGACACTGGGGCTGTTTCTCTTCCTTCTCACATCTTCCTGTGGTAGTGAGCACACAGTTCCTTATCTCTTTAAAAGGGAGTAAAGGAAAGGAACTAGTGAGAAGAGATTAAGGTTAATCTTTCGAATATACTTTGCCACAGTATTTCTTAATACTTCATTGCTCTGAGTTTGTCTTTTAGCTCTTTTATGAGACTGTTACTGGACTTTGTATGGTATGGTTTGTAAACAGCCCAATGCACATATTTCTTAATTGCCTCTTGCCAAAAGGCATCTTGGTTGTATATTTCGTGCATCCAGGAAATTTTTTAATTCATATATCATTCTCAGCTGCAGTCTTCTCAGCCTTTCCTCCCTCCCTATACTACTGAGGCCTTGGATACAGTCATCAGTAGTGGGAGCTTAGTAAACTCTCTTAAGGAGGCAGTTTGAGTATGTATCTAGAATCCTTCAAATTATTCCCTTTTGTCACTTTGTTCATTCCCTTCATTCTTCCATTTCTCAACCTTTTCCACCTTCCTTGAGTCCAATAGAATACCATGCTTTTGACTTAAGAGTCCAGTCTTCCCCTCTGACTGAAAATAAAATTTAGGATCCCAACTCATTTGTAAATTGTGAGTTAACTTGTTCATATACCAAGAAAATTGAATCAGCTTGGGTTAATAATGTCTATAGGAAAGCTATAAATAGTATATACTGTAAAATTAATTCTTATGTCAAAAGTCCATAGTATGGAAAGAAAGGAAACACTTATTAGTAGGTAATAAATGGATAGCAAGCTGTGATTCATAGAGTTTAATGAAAAATGTCAAGACATTTTAACAGTGAAGTATTTTAACTGCAATTTCTGTAGTCGAAGTTTGTAAAGCTGTAGCTGTGTTAAGTTGAATTTGTACTCTTTTCCACATATTAAATGATAATTGAAATATCAAACTATTAAAAATGTTACTTATATTTATTTTAAATTATCTTATTACTTTATTATTCAATTATAACTTAAATGTTAAAATATTAAATGATATGACTGCTAATTGTGCTTTAGTATTTTACACTTTACATGTTTCAGCTTGTAATAAGCTCAAATCTCTTATATCAACTACATGCAATTCAGAAGTTTGGAAATACACCTGATCTTCTGAACATGAAGATACTAGTTTAAGTTGCTTTGGTGTTAATAATTAAAGTTTCTTCCTCTTTTCCCATAAAGGATTCTGGACTCTACTCATAATATCTCTGTCTGCCGGGTTCTCGTGTTGTAGCTTTTCTTGGACAGTGACTTATTTTGACTCTTTTGAACCAGGAATGTTTCCTCCCACTCCTCTTTCGCCTGCCAGGTTCAAGTAAGTATTCCTGTTTCTTGTTTTTTAACCAATTCCAACTCTGTTGAAATGCTAAAATATATAGAAGCAAGAGGCTACTTATTTGTAAGGTAACATTTTGAGTTTCCAATCTATATAAAATATACATGACTTTTAGGTTTCTAGATTGGTTCAGGCTTTAGATAAATAGAGACTGTTTTAAACTCCTTACCTAGATAATGCAATGGTTTTTTTTTTTTTTTTTTAATGAATTTTAAGAATTGATCTAAGGAGTAGGAGATTTTGATGGCTGTTTGTTCTCTTGGGATAGAATTTCATTTAAACAGTTTATGAAAGCTAAATTTATATTAGCAATGTGAGAGTTTTACTAGATGCATCTATAAATAGTCAGATTTATACCAATTTAATAATTTGGATTGGACTTTCCTCAGATTTCAGTTTTTTGTAGTAATTACCAAGCATTTATGACATCCAATTTATATGTGTAGGTCAGATTAGATGCATTGCATAATGGAACAGTATTAAATTTCTTTGGTCTGCATCTTCTGTATTTCACAGACTTTCACAAAATTCAATTTTAATTTAGTCCTAATCTAGTTGATTTCTGTCAAGAAAGCTCGGGTTTTAAGTACTATAAATTTGCAAATATGAGTTTCTAAGACCTAGTTTATTCTACAAACAGGGGTTGGGGAAAAGGTGAAGAGATAATAAACTCTGGTTTAAAATTCATATGTTTTCAAAGTATTATGGTTGTTATTGTTGCTATTTATTGCTACCCACACCAGCTTACTTTATGGACAGTTTGTAGAGATCAAATAAAATCTATTTGAGAAACTCTATAAATAGGAAGTTTAATAGTGATGATATTTTTTAAATGCATATTTTTGACAGAGAGGGGGAGAGGGGAGAGGGATAGAACAAGAACGTGAGTGCGAGAGGGGCAGAGAGAGAAGGGGACAAAGGATTCAGGTTCTATGCTGACAGCACAGAGCTCAGTATGGAGCTCAGATTCACACCGTAGGATCATGACCTGAGCCAAAGTCGGATGCTTAACTGACTGAGCCCCCCCAGGTACCCCTACTAATGATATTTATTAGTAATTGTTATTACCAGCTTGCTTTATTAGTAAACTCCTATTTTTTTGTCTTACAAATCTGTCTTTAAAATTTTTGACTTTACTTCAAATGAAATGTGTGTGTATCTTAAACATCTTAATAAATCCCTATCTGTATATGAAACATAAATCATAGTTAGCAATAAATTTTGTGTGTGTTCATAATGGATAATGAGTAATTAATAATTAAGTTATTCCTAATAGTGTAATGCCATCCCACAGTTTACATGACTACCATTTAATTGCAAGTTTATTTTACTATGTGATATTGTGTTCAATTCAAATTCATATTCTTGATGCTCAATGCCATTAATTAGTTGGTAACAAGAGGTATGCATCTGATGTCAATATGCGACTCTTTCATAAACTACCAGAAAACATAATCTTATTTTTTCCCTTTTATTTCTTTATATCTCACTTCTCTCCTGATTTCCAACCTTACATTTCTAGCTATTTAGTAGATTTGCAGCCTGGATATTAGAAAGCACCTTGCACTTAAAATTATTAAGACTTTAGCCTGTTTTTTAAAGACATCAGTCTCCATCCAGTTATCAAGGCTTGAAACCCGTATTCACTGTGTTTATCCTTTGTCAGGTCTAGTCATTCCTGTTTTTTGAAATGTTATTGGAAACTTTTGTCTTCGCACCCTCAGTGTTTTTGCCCTATTTAAGGCTTAACCATGAACTTCACTCCTTGGCCTCCTCTACTTAAAGCTGTCACTCTTCAGATTCATCCTATATATTGTTACTTCTTTACTTATTTTTTAATTTTTTTAATGTTTTATTTATTTTTGAGAAAAAGAGAGACAGCGTGATCAGGGGAGGGTCAGAGAGAGAGAGGGAGATACAGAATCCGAAGCAGGCTCCAGGCTCTGAGCTAGCTGTCAGCATAGAGCCCAACACGGGGCTCAAACCCACAAACCATGAGATCATGACCTGAACTGAAGTCGGACACTTAACCAACTGAGCCACCCAGGTGCCCCATTGTTACTTCTTTAAAAACAAATCTATGTCACAGCTCTTCTCTTCCTTCAAAGTCTTCAGTGGCTTTCCCCTTGCCTTGAGAATGATGTCCAGCTCCCAAGTACAGCATAACAGTCCTTCCCCAAATGATCCTTCCTTACTTTTCCAACTTTATCTTCAGCTGTTTCTCTAGTGCACCCTATTCTGTAGCCACATTATCAGATTACCCTGGCATTCCCTGAATAAACTGTACTTTTGAGATGCCATGACTTTACTCTTACTGTTTTCTCTTCCTGGAATATTATTTTCCCTCACAGATTCTCTTTTACCCACACAAGAATTCGTAGGCCTCATAGATGATAGAAGATTTTGGAGATAGAGAAAAGCATTTCAGTGTTCTCTGAAATACCTGGAATGCTGTGAGCATTTAACTAATTTCTTAAAAAGTATCCTTGCCTTTTTTATTAAACTAGAGCCAATAGCGATAGACCTCGGTTTTTAGTGTTATTAGTCATTCAGTTTTTTTTTTAAACATTTATTTTTGAGACCGAGAGAGACGGAACTTGAGCAGGGCAGAGAAAGGAGGAGACACAGAATCCAAAGCAGGCTCCAGGCTCTGAGCTGTCAGCACAGAGCCCGACGCGGGGCTCAAACTCACAGACTGTGAGATCATGACCTGAGCCGAAGTCAGCCGCTTAACCGACTGAGCCACCCAGGCACCCCATTAGTCATTCAATTCTAACGTGAGATAGTGTCAGATTAGAGACTTAGATTGTGTGTTTTTTAATACAGTCCTAAACCCACAGATTTGAAATATACATTGTTGTACGTATGTATAAATTCCTTTCCACATGTGTTAGGTAACTTAATTTTATATATGATAAATCAACTATTAAATATCTTAAGACCATGAGTGAAAATGTAATTTAATAATATCATGTGTTGATAAAGGTAAGGCATATAACAAATTTAGTTATAGGGGATCGCTCACATATTAACAGAAACCACAAACCAAAAGAAGCATATAATTCAGTGCTAATTGATGAAATGGAGTTTTGTAGTGAAAACCCTGCCCTCTAGTGCTTGTGGAAAAGAAAGCTTCAGATATGTCAGAATAAGTTTATTCTCTTTGTCACCAGTAGAGTGAGAACTTGTACAGAGAAACAGCTTTTCTCTTTTGAGAAAGTTTAAATCTTCAGAGTTTATTTTCTTAGAAATCAGATTAATGTATTTGATTAATTTGAAACATCACACTTTTATACAACAGGCTATGTATTCTTTTATAACTTAAACAATGACGTTAATATAAATATTTTTGCTGATTATATGAAAGTATAAGCTCTTAGTTGAAAATTCAAAAAACAAAGACCCCACCTCCTAATTCCATCACATTAGTGGCTAAAGTTTCTAACATAAAAGGGAGAGAATGTAGAGTGGGGCACAAACATAGTCCATAGCACATATAATTTAGAAATTTTCACTTTTATATAAGCACAGCACCTTTAGGAAATAAAAGATAAAGAATTTTGCAAGGTATATTTTTAGACAGGTACTTAATAGACTTCAAAATGCATAGTTTAAAATAATGCCTGTATTTTTAAGTTTATTTTCAGTGAGAGAGCAAGGGGAGGGGGTAGGGGAGTAGGGCAGTGAAAGAGAGAGAGAGAATCAAGCAGTCTGTCCAAGCAGGCTCTGAGCTATCAGTGCAGAGCCTGATGCGAGGCTCAATTCCATGAACTGTGAGATCATGACCTGAGCCAAAATCAAGAGTTGGATGCTTAACCGACTGAACCACCCAGGCATTCCTCAAAAGGCATATTTTGAAGGATTGTTATACTGACTTATTTTGCAAACTTTGTTGAGTTAAAAGGTATACTGCAGTGTTACACAGACTTATCTATTAGAAAACAGTCATTTTCTTTGTGTATTTGGATCAGTTAGACTTTTAAATTACTTCCTTACTTGCTTCTGAAAATATGTTACCATGTTATATAATGAGGTGATAACTTTAGATTCTTTGAAGTATCTATTTAGGCTTTCCCCATTTCTCACTACTTTTTTATTTTTATTGCTCTTCTTTGCTACTTAACATCTCCAGTTCACTTCACATTAGTTTTCATCATTCATTCATTCCTTCAGTTTGCTCAGTGATTTCCAGCCAGGCAAATATAACAGTGTATATGTATTTAGTATTTCACGTGTAATTATCTGCTTTAATTATAGTTTTCAGGAGTTAATGCATCTGGGTATTTGACCCATCCATGCAAAGATACTCCATTATTTGGGTCCTCCTGATTGGGAAGGAAGTTAGATATGGGTAGATGTGCATTAAAGCTGCATCTTTCCTGCAATCCCTAGGATTGCTAGGGAAGTCTTAGAGATTCCTAGTAAATATTATGGGGAAACTAAGTCCCTGCTAAGCCACCCTTAGGTATTATCATTAGTTTAGGCCCTCCATTTTTTAACAGATGAAGAAATTGAGGCCTGAGGAATTTAAGCAAGTTGCACAGAGTCAAATAACTTGCATGTAACATAGCTGACACCTGATTCTGTTTATTCTTTTTTTTTTTTTTTTTTTTTTTTTGCCATACTAGCTAAGCCCACCTCCTTTGAGTTATGAAATGAATCAAAAGGAGGTAGTTCGCTGTGAAACAGCTTCATCTTATTGACAGTTAAAAGCACTCACAGAAGCTTTTGCTGTGTGGCAGTTTTGCCCATGTGATGCTGCCAAACCCAATCAAAACCTGTTCTTAACATCTCACTGTCTGTTATCCATTGTTTTTCTTCTAGTGTTAGCTCTATGTTAGACTACCCTGCACGTTTCATATTACTTGTGCCCCATCTAGTGGTACAATGATGTAGCTGCAGGTTTATAGTATTGAGCATCCTAAAAATAAAACTTTAATTATTGGGGCACCTGAGTAGCTCAGTCAGTTGAGCATCCA